ACCTTCTTCGAACTCTTTGTTTCAAGAGAAAACATTTATCGCGAAATTTTTATCATTTTACTTCGTCTCAGACTAAATTTATTTTTAAATAAAAAAAATATTTATCATTTCCACATGAAAACATGCAATGAGTAATGCGTAGTTTTATCGAAAACAGATCACAGTTCGGTTTGATGTTAATTTTAAGCTCGTCCTCGAATAATCGACCACCAGTATATAGAGTAGAGTTCGATATTGAAATTGACTTAATTAATTACAGAGTTGTAGTTTGGAGAACGGATTTAACCAAATTATATTGGATAAGGTTTCCTTGATTTTATTTTAATCATAAATGAATAATTGTATTATATTTATTTTGTGTTAGTTGGAATGATCAGATAAAATAATTTAATTTAATTGTAGAAAAAATCTAGTATGTTAATTTTATTTCAATCGAAATAAAATAAAATGATAAAATTAGGTTAATTTAGTTCCATATAATGTAAATTCTAAATAACATTATCAAATTGAATATTAATTTTGCATTAAAAAAATATAAATGCAATAATTCCATTAGTTTAACTTTATTTCAAGTAAGATTAATCTCTTCACTTTGAATTTATTTTATTTTCCCAGACTATTAAATAAATAATCTTATGAAAATGAACCTATTTTGTTGTAAAACAAGTATAGTTGTATTAAATTGCTTTCATTTTACTTTGACTATAAGTAGATAATCTTCTTAGATTAATTATATCTTAACTGAAATAAGTTAAGCATATACATCAAATGAAACTAACTCCTTTCACATTGATTGAAAGTAAAATAAAATAATATTTTTCATCATTAGTTTGAGTCAAAATAAACCAGAAATATCGAAATTCAGTCGATGAAACCACAAAGACTAAATAAGATCGATACGAATTTCAAATATCTAAAACAAAACTGGATAATTTTGAAGAATTATAAATTAATATAAAAAGCCTAGTTGTATTTTTGAAAAAATATATGACGTGCAATTTCTTCCACCATACCAGAATATAAGACGAATGTAACGGTTTCTCGCTCATATATATAGTATATATTAGCCATTGTCAACTTACATGTCCTCTACACTAGAGAATTATTATTAATTACAGTTTTACAAACAAATACAAAAAATGTTTTTTTCAATAAGAATAAACGATAAAATGAATTTAACGAGATAAAATTCAAAACAATAATAAACTTAATCAAGTCAAATCAAATTGATTAGTAGTATGCTGTTTTTATAATAAGCATCGCTGTATACAAAACGTGTAGTTGCAATTTAAAAAGAAATTATATTTCTATTAGGAAGCATTCCATTACTTAAACACGTGTAGTAATCTACATCTATAAACCTATCGTTATAAAAACTAGTTTGCATGAGAAATATCTTAAAATTATGGTCTGACAAGATCCTACAATATCTTACAAGACTCCCATCCTCAGATCTTGCAAGAATCTTATATCAAGAATCATATAACATTGACGCTAGCATCTTATAATAAGAATCATATTAAATCTTAGAACAAGAAATTTGCAAGATTTCGTAAGATCATACAATCTGAATCTTACAAAATCTAATTGTCAGTAAGATCGTATAAGATCTTATATGATCCTCGTACGATTTTTGCACCTGGGTAGTGAACGATGTCTGTACGACCGTCGTTTATCAATGTACTCATACAAGTTAATAGTGAATGAAGAGTAGGGGTGGACCATTTTATTTAATGGGACTTAATTAATGTCATTAATTAATGGCTTCACTTAACCATTAATATTAATGGTTAATGTTTTCCTTTAAAAACTTAATTCATTAATATTAATGATTAATGAAAACATTAACATTAATATTAATATTAATGATTTTTCATTAATCATTAATATTAATGTTAATGAAAATCATTGACATTAATATTAATGGTTAATGGTTAATGTTTTCCTTCGAAAACTTAATTCATTAATATTAATGTTAATGAAAATCATTAACATTAATATTAATGTTAATGTTTTTTCATTAATCATTAATATTAATGGTTAATGAAAAAATCAACATTAATTTAATATTAATGTAAGTGGTCCACTCCTAATGGGCAGAGAGATTATTTTCTTCTCCCCATCCGCCGTAAATAATAAAAAATCCTTTTTTTTTTTATAAAATCAAACATATTGTTCGTTTCTATCTTGGGATTGACCTAAATAAAAGAAAAAAAATAATTTTTATAAATAAATACGTACTTTCATTTCGATGTTGAGTTTGACGTGAAGAAAAGAAGAGACTAATAATTTATATAAATAAATACTTACTGTTGAAGTTTGTGGCAAAATCGCCGATTAGTCATATCAGTCCAAATAATTGTCGATCAATCGCGTCTGCCCTAATAATCACCAATTAATCGTGATTTATCGGCATACCCGAAAAATCGCTGATCAATCGCGATTAATCGTCGAAACTAATGCGATTTTGATGACATGGGTTATCTCTTGCTATTTGTCCACTATTTTTTGATTTCGTTTAGAGTGACGTCGGGCTCGGGCCTCGCAGCGACCCGTCAGGCATGGATCGACGTTAAGGCTTGGCTCACTGACGGTCGAGACAAGGCAGCAATCCTCGCCGAGATTCATCGTAGCGAGGCACATCTCATGCAACAGTACGCAATCATTCTTCAAGAACCCAAGTACCTCACAGACAAAATTTGGCGAGTTCTTCAAGACCAACTCAAAACCATCCGAGAACAAGATATGTCTCTCTATGTTCCCTGAACTGTTGTTTTTATAATAAATATTTACTGCCGCACGCATGCATGTTCCTGTCTCGTGGCGTGAAACATGGACGTAATACACCGATAACGATATCACTCTCTTGCTGATATCGTCAGTTCCCCTTCCCTCTCGTTTTCAGCTTCTCATTTTCTCTCAATTCTTTTTTCCGTATTCATTTCTTCCTCCTATATAAACTTGTCTTGTGTGTAAGATAGATACACTCTGGAGGTATCAAATATCACAATAAACATCATTACCGAGAGTGGCGGTAGAGCCACTTCTCCAGTTTGTCGTTACATGAAGACCCTGGCTAAACGATCGTTGCAACTAACTGTGTGATCGAAGTCTATCCTAGCCGTTTCACCAATAACATCACAACTCAATCGTTGATCCCATCGATTACACGACGGTAAAAATATTAGTTCGATATATAGAGTTGTTAGAGCTGACCTTGGTGCAGTCACACTGTGGGTGTGGGTGTGAGTGTGGGTATGGGTGTAAGTCCTTATTGCTTCTCACACCCACACCCTCAAGAATTGCGAATTTTGTTTGGTTTTGATAGCTTTTGTACGGTAATTAACAATAATTGTATTAGAATTTACAAAGAATTAAGATTTCCAAAAGATTTATAACTCAAAAAATTATTCTATCATTGTGTTTCAAATTCATCCTAGACTACAACATTTGACTTTATTACTATTTTCTCTATAATCCGATCATTAAAAAATTTCGTCGAAAAAAACAAACGCCAAGGGTCATTTTGTGATATGAACATTGCTACTTTGTTTCTTATTAACAATGAGTTGAATTAGGCAGAAGTAAAATTAGATGTATCTTCTATTTTATGATCGCGAAACATAAATGAAACTTATCGATGTCGAGACTACAGATCTTGTATAGCTATATTTTACTCTATAGGATATGTAAATCGACGCGTGAAATGGATGCAGCTGAATGTTTCGTATATGATGGAAAAATCACCAGTTGAAATAAAAACAATCAATCTGAACCACGTGTTTAAATTATTAAAAGAACAAAATTCATAGAGAAGTGAAATACATAAGCTGTACATTATGTCAATGATTTCTGAAAAACTCTTAAAAACCAAATCCTCAGAAACTATTTCAAACTTTCATACAAACTAGCCGAAAACTTGCTCAAACAAAGACTATTCACGAGAGAATATATCATCAAATACCACGAATTTACCTGAGTCAAACATTTCCATGAATATGATTTCCATATAAAACAAAACACAACAATTATCATTAGTATTAATAAATAGAGTATTTATTTAATGCATATCAAATAATAATCAGTTTTTTCCTAAAAAATCAGATTTCTTCTTAAACACAATCGTGTCTCTTTCTAACTATTATAAATTTATCTTCAGTCGTGACATATGTTGAAGCATTTTCTGCACATATACTTTTCCATTATCACTGATTTCGTTATATTCTAAGTCTACCATGGTGAGTGTCTGTGTGAAATAAAAACCAAGCGACAGAATGAGAAGAAAGAAGAGGGAGGTATTACTTGATGTAGTTGTAGAACATCGGCAAGATCTTGTGCTCCTTGATCACTGATGCCATTGCCATTGACGACAAGTGTGATAAGTGTCTGTATAGAATAATGCGTGAGCTAGAGAAAGAGAACTTAAGATAGATGAGTATTACTTTGTTTAGTTTTAGAGCATTGGCAAGATGTTTTGCTCCTTGTGGACCGATTTCATTAAATGAGACGTACAGTGTGATGAGTGACTGTGTAAAATAGTAGGTGAGTGACATAATGCATAGAAGGATGAAGGAGATATTACTTGATTTTGTCGTAGAACATCGGCAAGATGTTGTAGTCCTTGTGGACCAATTTCATTATCTCCCATATACAGAGCGATGAGTGTCTTTGTAGTATAGTAAGTGATTTAGAGAATAAGAAGGTGATATTAGCGAGACTTACTTTATTTTGTCGCAGAGCATTAGCAAGGCATTGTGCTCCTTGTGAACCAATTCCGTTAGCATCCAAAATAAGTGTAGTGAGTGTCTATGCAGAATAGCGAGTGAATGATAGAATGAGAAGATAGGATGGGTGTATACTACTTTGTTTTCTTGTTCCAGTTCATCGACTAATTAAAAACAAAAAATAAATCTAATCAGATCACAAAGGTTAAGATATGTACCAATTTCAACAATAGAATTTGGACCAACAACTTCAGTTAATAATCGATCTTGTTGTTGTTATTTATTTTCTTCAATAATACGATATTCAATTTCAGCTATTCTTTTTTCAAGATCAGAAATTGCTCCATATTTCATATCGGCAACTAAAGTTAAATTTTTTTCTCGTTCAGCTTGTGCCATTTTAGCATGAAGATTTTCTAATGTTTGTTTTAATTTTCTTAATTGATTAACACGTTGTTTTTCAGCTTTTTGTCTTAATTTTAATGGTTTTAATTCTTTTCGAATTTTTGCTAACTCTTCTTTAACTTGTTTTAAACGTTGTTTTGAAGTATCATCTTTTTCTTGTGATAAAACTGTTACTTCAACATCTAATTGTAATTCTCGACGTTCTAATTGATCAATTATTTCTGATTGACTATCCAATTGTACATGAATACTTGCAAAAGTTTCGTCAATTAAATCTTTAAAAAGAATCTCAAATAATCAAAATTTTATGAAAGAATATTTCTTACCAATAGCTTTATCAGGTAAAAATCGATTTGTTATATAACCATTAGATAATTGTACCGCAATAATCAAAGCTGAATCAAGAATTTAAACTAAAAATATTTAAATAAATATAGAAGAAAAATTTGAAATGAATAAATCATACCACCAAAATATGATTCATAATGATCTTTTAAGATAGCATAAAATTGAGATACAATCCGCAACTGTTGGTTCTTTAATCATAACTTGTTGAAAGAATTATTAAAATAATTTTTTTTAATTTTCTAAATATTCGTTCTGCTTTAGCTGAATTAACATTTCTTTCTTTCCTGTGAAACTATCATTCGATTACTTAATCTGTCTATTTTGACTAATTGAAAATGAGAATCGTAGAGGAAAGAAAGAAACGAAAAACAATTGAATCATTTTATTAAAGAATAGAAACTAGATTGTTTTTAAATTATCTTTAATATGATGCAAATGTGTGAAGGTATTGGTGAAATGCTAATAACATCTGTTGATGTTGACGTTGATATGCTTGAAGAGTCAAAAGTAAGTGCAACAATGATAGGTACAACTGCATTAGCAGCCTGTATAGGTTTCTGTTAGCGTCAACAGATGACACTATGTTGCCGCTAACTAATTTAGTCACTGTCCTTTGGTCATTTTGTTTTGTCCTTCCTTCCATATATAATTTGTCTTCCTGTCGTTTATTTTTTTTTCTCTCTCTCTCCTATATATATGCTTTCATTAGTTATCATTACGAAGTCAGTTGATTATCTTGTTGTTATCATACATCCTTCTGAACAACATCTCTTTTCTCTCTCGTCCCCTCACCTATTATAAACCTTATTTTTCCTCTCTTTTATTATTACTCCTATTTCTATGATCTTGTCTTTTTCCTTATCATCAATAAACTCTAAACTACCTACATCTCAACTATCATTTTCCTTATTGCTGGATATATTATTCAGGTAGGCAGTTTTCCTTTTACGTGTGATATCTCAGAACTATATACAGACCAGACACTTTTCTGTAGTTATCTTCCCGCTTACGAATAGAACGTGTGCAGGAGATTTAGGATAACAAACGAAAAGCTAACAGTTTCTTACTTGATTGTAATTATTATGATCCTGATTTTGGTGTAACTACTAACGTGTATCTCTTGGTACATTATTCATCTTAGATCAATGAAGCTAAATTATCATCATCACAAATTCTTAAAGAATTCTTACAATATCTTTCGAGTAAATTAAAAGATTACCTAAACATTCAATCATTTTACTCGAATCTTGAAGCTCATCCAACAATTTCTAATTGTCATTTAGTCATTGCCGGTGGTGATGTTGAGAAAAACTTACGTATATGTAAGGCTTTTTCATTATTGAATTCACCTAATTTTAATAACAAAATTATTACCAATGATTATAATGATGATGTTCGTTTCTTGTTAAAACAATTATGAAATCGTGTAATAATATTTAAATGCATTTATAAAGGATCTGATGATGAGTAAAAACGAGTAAACACTTATTTTTTTCGGTTCTACAACTATTTTACAGCCAAAACATCAAGTGAAGATAATAATTCTACAGCTGTGTACTTACGATATTGTTGTTCAAGTAAAAACATTGTGATAGGTTTAAGTTGGTATGATGGTGGATATGCCGTTGATTTAGCTCTATTGCAAATGAATATATATATGCAATAAAGCGACGTGAAATTAAATGGCATCTTCAAACAAAAGCAATTAAAAAATTAAAAGAGTGTTTAAAAAAATGAACAAACATTATTTTCACGGATAGAAGAATCGTTGTTACTTATTCCACAAGACGTTTTTATCACTTGGTAAGTTATTTGTTTTTCTCTCTTCTAATACAGTTAAAACTCTTTATTTCTTTTCATAGTCCATGTGATTCATTCCCAGGTCCAATAAAACGGCGTCGTAAACGGCCTGAAACGGCTATAGAACGGCGATTAACGATGTAAAATGTCGATAAACGGCACCGTAATCCGTCATACCAGATTACGGAAGCAAAACCGGAAAAAAACGACCACCGTTTTCTAGCGATAGACGGTGGTCGTAATATGGTATGACGGATTACGGCGAAATAAGGCCAAAATTACTGCAGTAATTCGCCGTTTTATAGTCGTTTCAGGCCGGATACGACGCCATTTCCGACGGCCGGAATGATCCACCTGGGTTAAATATTAAAATTGGTATTAATGGATTTGGTCGTATTGGTCAACTTGTGTTTCGATGTGCAATTGAAGAAGGTATTCAAGTAGTTGCTGTTAATGGTTAGTATTAGATTTCTTTATTTATATATCTTATAAAATATATCCTTTTAGGTCGATTTATTCCTATTGATTCTATTGTTTATATGCTTAAATATGATTCAATACATGGTAAATTTAAAGGTACAATTTCACATAAAAATGGAAAACTTATTGTTAATGGACAAAAAATTAATGTCTTTGCTGAGTAAATATTTTAAATAAATAAATTTCAATATCTCATTTTATTTTATTTTTAGAGAAGAACCATCAAAAATCCCATGGGGTCGGCTCGGTATGCATTTTTTTTTCTTGATCTTGATTGATAAGCGATTAATTGTTTTTATTTAAAGATGCTGAATACATTTTTGAAGCAAGTGGTGTATGTACAACAATTGATGAATGTCAATCACATTTACAAGCCGGTTCTAAAAAAGTTATTATTGCAGCACCATCAACTGATGCTCCAATGTTTGTTATGGGTGTTAATGAAGATAAATATACAGGAAAGGAAACAGTTATTTCAAGTGCAACATGTACAACAAATTGTTTAGCACCACTTGCTAAAATTATTCATGAAAAATTTGGTATTATTGAAGCTTTAATGACAACTGTACATTCGTACACTCCTAAGCAAAATATTATCGATGAACCATTAAACAAAGTATTGAATAAAACAAGAAAAAAAAAGATTTTTATTTATATATTATTTCTATAGCATTGGCGAAGTGGACGTGGAGCTGCACAAAATATTATTCCATCATTAACTGGTGCTGCTACAGCTGTATGTTTATTTATTTTATTTTTAATAAATAAGAAAATTGATTTGTGTTTTATTTGATCGGAACAGTTATTCCTGAGTTAAAGGGAAAATTAAATAGTATGGCTTTTCGTGTTCCAACACCAAATGTTTCAGTTGTTGATCTTACTGCTCGATTAAACAAAGGCGTAAGTCATGTCTTTTTTTAGATTCAATTTATTAATTTAAATTTACTTATTTAGACTAAATATGAAGAAATTTGTGCTGCAATTAAAGAAGCTGCTAATAGTCCATTAAAAAATATTTTGGCCTATACTGAAGATGAAGTTGTTTCAACAGATTTTGTTGGTGATACACATTCATTAATTTTTGATGCTAAAGCTGGTATTTCACACAATGACAATTTTGTTAAACTTGTCGCATGGTATGTTTTTTTTTTATTGAAATATTCTTCTATATGAAAAATAATAATTTTCTTTTTAGGTATGACAATGAATATGGTTATTCACATCATGTTCTCGATCTTATCAAATATATTGCCAAAAAAGATTATGAAGATAAGCTTAAACAATCCTTGGAATGATCACGAACAGATATTGATTAATTTATCTAATTTAATTCTTTTTTTTTTTTGTCATCCTTGAACTTAGCAAAAAAAACTTTTACTTCTAGTTTTTATTATTATTTTCATTCACCTGTGATAAGAAATAAAAAGAGCCATACTTTTTTTGCTTTCAAATAAATTTCGATACACGTTTATTTTGCATGGTTAAATTAAGCAACAACATAATGATATCGAGCAACATATTTTGCATTATTTATGTTATACAAGTGTTAGAACAGTATAACTTATGAAGATTATATTAATGTGCAAGGTTCCGATAATTCAAAATTTCAGCACTTTTTATTTTTTTTTATTTTTATACATCATCAGATTGAGCTTTTGATTTTTTTCGGTTTTTTTCAATTTTTTGACAGTAAAAAATGCTTTTTTATAAATATGTCATACATATTCGAATTCAGCATCAAAAGCTCTATCTAATGATGTGTAAAAATAAAAAGTGCTGAAATTTTGAATTGCTGGAACCTTACACAATTTCTTTGTCGACAATTAGATAGTGATCAACTTGAAATTATTCTTAAATGGAATTTAATATCACGTGATCTTGATTCACATTTATTTGTTTCTGATGGTAGACATGTTTATTATGAATCAAAAATTGAAAGAAATATTTCACTTGATTGTGATGTTACAAATGGTAATGGACCTGAAACAATTAAAATACAACTTGAACCTGATTTAAAATATCTTTATGTTGGTTATCGATATTTTCGTGATGGACAATTAACAAAATCAGGTGCAACAGTTACATTTAATAATAGTGCTATAATAAATTCCGTAGTTCCATATCAAATTGTTCAAATACCTGTTGTTAATCAACCTGATGCTAATTTTTGGATTGTTTGTGAAATTGATGGAAAAACAAAAAATATTCAAATGTTTGAAAATGTATTTGAAATTCATAATAATTATTCATTGGATGAAATCGGAAAAAAATATTTGAATATATAAACTTAGTTTCTGTTTTTTTTTATTGTAAATAGATTTTCGAATAAATAAATCAAACTTAATGTAGGAAAATAAATTCAAAGATTTAAATCAAATTAATGAAGTAGACAAATAAGTTTATCGTTTAATTCTCGAAGATTACATTTTTTTTATTCGATGACAAAAATAATATATTTTTTTTCTTATGAACTAATAAAATAAAGAAAATATCATAAAGATTTCGAAGTTTTTTTTTTCTAAGAAAGTAAGTTTAAGAGATCAACACACGTTCTTTTAAAAACTTATCGACAAGACAGAGTACATATTTTAAACTTAGAACACAAAAATCCATAAATCTGTAAAAGATTACGATAAAGATTAGGTGACATCTATGTTAAGTATTTAATTCATCCGTTGCTACGTTATGTCTAATGCGCATTGTCAAGGTGAGTGGTAAAGATAAAAAAACTTTACATTCGAAATTTTCATTTTTCGTTTTATTTCTTTTTTAACAATCATGCCAGCAAAAGTTGGTGCGGATAAAAAACAAGTATGTGTTATATCTTATTCTATATATACTGAATGACTTTTATTCAAGGCTCATCCCGTTGTCGGTGGAGCAGCAGCTCAACGACGATTGAGTCAATCGCATCGTGGTTCCACGGGAGATTTTCGTGTAAGATAATCAATTTATTGATTAAATATTCAAATAATTCATTATAGGATGATGATCAAGAATTAGGCAATATGCCGGCTACTTATATGGGCGAAGTAAATTATCTATTGAAAGTATTTTATTTGACATTTTGTTTTTCTTTTTTAATTAGCATAATTTATTCGGTCGTCAGGATGATCAATTAAAACTAACTGATACGGTATTTTTCTTTTAAATTAAACATACATATTTTTTTTTTAAATAATAATTGTAATCATTTAAAAAGGAATTAAATGAAGAACATACTCGAATACTTACTGCACGTAATCCTGAAGCAGCTGAAAATATTGTTCGATTTAGTCATAAAGTAAATAAAATAAAATAAATAATATTATTTTTTAAATTTTATTATATTAAGGAACGAATGTTTAAACTTATTCCACATGTTGATCAATTAGCTGTTCATTTTCAACTTGATAGTAATCTTGTTCATAAAGATTCTGAAGATGGAAAACGACAATTAGTTCATGATACTGAAGGTAATTCAATAGTATAATATGTATAAACATAATTCTCTGTATTTTTAGATCAAAGAATTCAAGAAACTGAAGTAACAACAACGGCAGTTGATCAAGATGGAGTAAATTAAATAGAACAAAAAATATTTCTTAATTAAATATCTATTTTTGTTTTGTTTTTTTTTTACTTAGGAAGTAAAAACAAAAGAAGGTGAAGAAGATGATGAAGAAAAAGCGAAGAAAACAACAGCTTCAACTGGTAAAGCAAAAAAACTTACTAATCAATTTAATTTTAGTGAACGAGCATCTCAAACATATAATAATCCATCTCGAGTATGTTCTTTTATAGTGCTAACAATTCAAAATTTTTTTTTGCTTGTCAGAATTGAACACAGGCCATTGAGTTAATTATAAACAAGTTTTTTTGAACATATTCAAACAATATTTTTGTTGTGAAATCTAGCTTTCTAAACTTTGAAACAACTCTAAAAGTATCAAGTCTCAATATTTATCAGAATTGTGTGGAACACTCACGTATATTTTCGAAGAAAAACAATGCGTGTAAGGTTTAAGTAGAAGTTTTGCAGTTCTCCATTACAGACCTTAGCAACCGAGATTAAATATGCTGAACCACATTATTAACAAGATTTAAAAGGTTCTAGAACATTTCAGAGTCTTTCTTAAAATTTATATGACTAAAATACTTTTTTTCAATAGTCTAAACAACTCAGTTTCTGATTTTTGCGTAGATAAATAATTATATGAAAAATATCAACTGATTAAGTTTTAATTTTCGAGAATAATCAACATCAATGTTTCTAAATTCATCGAGATACATAATAAATCGTTAAGATCTACTATTAATATAACGAATGTGTACAACAGGCTATATATCCAGTATATCACCAGTTAGACTAATAATAATAATAAATTATGAAAATGATAAATACCAAGCGAATAGAAACAAAGCAAATAAAAACAAGAAAACAGAATTTCTGTTAGAAATAAAAAAGACATAGCATTTGTTAACAGTTGATTATCGTGGGAAAAGAACAATTGTCTTTTACAGATTTTACACTTTACTTATTTTGTATTAGTACAATAAAGCTAAAGAAGACATGTGAGTTCCATATTTCAGTTCCAAAGGAACTGCTAACAAGCTTTTCTTTCCTAACCGTGTGAAGAGTAAAATTAAAACGAGAAACTGTTAGCACAATCACTGCAGGATTAAATTGTGAAACATGATGTAGCTGCTGTCGCTAATCACAGAAAGATTATTTTATTCTTTTCTTTTTTTTTGTGATACTTCTCTTCACCATCGTTTTACTTAATCCTTTGTCACAGTTTTTCATGAAGAAAACACGTTACTATGGATGTTTGTCATGTCTATGACGTTTCCATGGTAACGTTTAGTGCGGGGGAGGAGGCGGCAAATTTCTATCCTACATGTTCCAACATTCCTTTAAGATTGGATAAATATTGAGACTTGATACTTATGACATATTTTAATTTTTCTAAGTAACTCGACGAGTTCTATTCAACTATGATGAAAAAAAAAAATTTCGCTCAAATTCTGAATTGTCGACCCTATTACTTATGATATAATTTTTCTATGAATATTTTCTTATATTTAGGATCGTGAAACATTTGTTGAACAAACACCACGTGCTACTATTAGTGATAATGTATCTCAATGGTCAATATGTGATGCATATAATGAAGATTTTGAACAACAAGTAAAATAAATTTGAATAAAAAAAAAAAAAGCTACAGAAAATTCTTTCATTTTGTTTTTTAATATTTTAGCAAAAAGCTAAAGAAAAAGAACAAAAAAAAGTTTCAGTCAAAAAAGAAGATGAACGAAAGAAAAAATTCGTTGTTGCTGATCAACATGTAAAACAAAAATTGAAACTTCAAATATAAATATATATACATTCGCTTTTATTCATATAGACTGTTGATGATATGACAAAATTTACTCGATCAAAAGCAGCTAGTATATCATTGAAAATCCTTGAACGAATGATTAATCAAAATACATTTGATGATATCGCTCAAGGTATAATTTTTATTCAGTTAATCATAGACATTTTACATATATATATAATTTAGATTTTAAATATTGGGAAGATGCTGCTGATGAATATCGTGAACAAGAAGGTAGTCTTTTACCATTATGGCTTTTTCAATATAGTATGGTAAAAAAACTTGCTTGTACAAATTTAACTTGGAATACACATTATAACGATTTATTTGCTGTTGCATTTGGTTCATGTATGTTAATCATAAAATTTGTTTTTTTAGTTAAATTCGTATTTAATAGATGATTTTCTTAAACAAAGTCGTGGCATGTTTGTAATCTATTCATTGAAAAATCCAAGTTTTCCAGAAAATATTTTTCAAACAGAAAGTGGAGTTATGAGTTTAGATTTTCATCCACATTATGCAAATCTTCTTTGTTGTGGTAAGTTTATTTATATAGAATAAAAATATTCATTGAATAGATATTCTTTATCAAAGTTTAGAATAGAATTACGCATGTTAATAGTAGTAAGATCAGCTAATTAACTGAGTTTTGTTTAAGAAGCTGAGCTATTTACTACAATTTTCTTCTGGTTACATCACAAACGAAAAGTCTATAACCTCTTCTTTTTTTGTAAAAATGACGCATATGAATGTAAATATGAACTCAGTATACTTTAAAGAAATCTAAAAATTTTATATTGAGTAGAGAATTCTTACAACTACCATCGAATGTAATCTTACTAATCAATAAAGTAATGAACTTGTAGAAGTCTATCAAATGTACAGTACTGCTTAAAATTAGAAGAAAAAAGTAATTTTGATTTTTTTTTCTGTGATGTCCAGTAATTAACTAAATTTCCAAGAGTGATTTGAAAAGTTAGTGAAGTTCTCTAACAGATGCACCATGTATTAAGGCTTCGTTTTCAATAGTTCCATCTGAAAGAGTACTCAATGGGGGATCATCACGACTTTTTACGACTCTACAAAGTTACAAGCATAATTTTAAAAAAAATTCATTTTTAGCGTTTTTTTTTTGTGATGCTTGTAACTTTGTAAGGGAAGGTCGTAAAACACGCAGTGACCTCTCATTTTGTGCTTGTTGAGATGGGGATTTTTGTAAAAGAACTCCTATATCAGCGTCTGGAACCCGGAAACAATAGTGTTCAATTTCATGAAAACTTTTCCACATAGTCCAACAATGAAACCTGAGAGAGAATTTTGTAAACTATGTAAATTACTATTTGAATTTTAATTAGATGCTCTGGATCACAGCAAAAAAAATTAAAACTATTTTCTATATCTCGATGTTATCTATCATATAGCAAGGACATGGGTTAATGAATTCAGAATTTCATTTTTTTTTCTTTTAAAACGATAATTTAATTCGTATGACACATTCTATGTTTAGGTTTTTATGACGGTTCAGTAGCTGTCTATAATATTGCTGATGAAAACAAACAACCAAAATATCACAGTACGTCTCGTAATGGCAAACATACAGATCCTGTTTGGCAAGTACGAAGGCACATTACTTGTTTAAAAAAAAACAATATTAACTATTAATCTTTTTCATATTTGAGGTTTGTTGGCAAAAAGATGATTTAGATAATAATCTAAATTTCTATTCTGTCTCATCTGATGGTCGTGTTGTCTGTTGGACAATAGTTAAAGTAAGTAAATTTTTATATGCAAAAAAAAAATAAAATTTTTCTCTTTAAATAATAATTTAATTTAATTTAGAATGATCTTATGTATACAGATGTTGTTCAATTAAAATTAGAAAAACCAGCAAGTCAATCTGAGGAAGGTATTCCATTAGCTTCATTAGGTAAAATATTTTAATTAGAAAATTTATTTTTCTTATTATTTGATTAATTTTTTTTGTTCCTTTAATAAAAAAGGATGTGGAACATGTTTTGATTTTAATAAACAACAAGATTATTTATTTATTGTTGGTACAGAAGAAGGTAAAATTCATAAATGTTCAAAATCTTATAATAATCAATTTTTGGATACATTTGATGCACATCATATGGCTGTTTATGCTGTACGTTGGAATAAATTTCATTCAAAAATATTTGCTAGTTGTTCAGCTGATTGGACAGTGAAAATTTGGGATATTAATTTTAAGTAAATGAAAATATTCTTTGTTTATTTTCGATGAAAATTTTGAATAAACTTTTTTTTGTTTTAGAGATCCATTATTTGTTTATGATCTTGGTAGTCCTGTTGGTGATGTTGTTTGGGCACCATATTCATCAACAGTATTTGCAGCATGTACAGCTGATGGAAAAGTTTATGTATTTGATTTAAATGTGAATAAATATGAACCAGTTTGTGAACAAATTGTTGTACAAAAAAAACGTACAAAATTAACACATATTACACTTAATCAACGTTATCCTATATTACTTGCTGGTGATGATCGAGGAAATGTAATATCATTAAAACTTTCACCAAATTTACGTAAAAAACCTAAAGTTAAAAAAGGTCAAGAAGTAGCTGAAGGACCTGAAGCTGAAATAGCAAAATTAGAAAAAATTCTTTCACTTATTCGTGATCCAGATGATATAAAAAGTAAATCATTAGGACAACAAGGTACAACAACATCGATTACGACGAATTAAATACTTTTCTTTTTCTTTTTTTTTTTTTTTGGTTTCAATTAATTTTTTTTTCTTCTTTTTGAATTTATGCATTTTTGACATTACAAAAAAGAATAACGTATTTTAATGAGAATGATTTTTGACAAATGTACTTTTTGATTGAAACTTATTGAATTTTGTAAGACTATAACGTTTATTTTAGTTCGATTGTAATTGTTTTTACAGCAACAAGACGTAAAAGTATTATCAATTGAAATCAAAATACTATTCATTTAAAAAAAAAAATTCAACATACCTATTAGTATGCATTATTTGTAGAAACTTCTGTCTGCAATAGAAGACCTCAGATTTTTAATAATGTTCAAACGTACAAAGTTTTCAGAGGAGGGAGAATCTTCTATTGCATTCTATTTATTTTCATAATTTTTAATTTTAAGACCTGCTCTCCTCAGAAAAAGTCAATTTTGTTCAAATTTATCAATTTTATGGTTTATGATTCATTAGATAGAGTAGAGATGTGCAGAGTAGAGATCAGTGGGGATGTCCTGACCTCGACCCTGACCCTGCTGGGGTCGTTCAAGAGTGAAAAGACGAACAAAGAAAAACAAAACTATCTGATCGTCAGAATTCAAAGCTTCACTGACAAAAGAAAAAAAAATCAGAAAAAGAGAATGTGGGTACTGTGAGTTGGTGGGATGCTCGTGTAGGTGTACAGAAGACCCACCGACACCAAAACCCACACAAACATCCACATATTTAATAGAATCATCTCATTTCTTTATAAGTATCCTCGAGTTCTTTTGATGTTAACAGCTTCAAAATCGGCCCTTCGTTTTATAAACAAACGAAGAAAAGAGAAAAGACAGAAGAGGATACCTTGTTATTTTTTTTTTTCTCAATTTATTTCCTTAGACTGGCTAACAATCAAGACTTGTCTACATTTCTCCATCAACATAATACCACGTCCATTAGATATCAATTATCAATGAGAAAAAAATTGGAAGTTTTCGAAATTAGAGTCAAGATCAGACAGAAATTTTAAAAATGTTGGATTTTGGGGCTAAAAAATTTGACCCCACTGATCTCCAGTACAGGATTACCCCATACCCTATTCTGCAGGATAGGGTAGGATAAGGTTTAGAAAATTTTTCTCAGTCAAGGTACAAAATAAGAATAAAAGTTTACTCTGAACACCTTTAAGGTAGATTAATTTGTCTACTTTCGAATGTACTCTAGTTTATTGGTTTTATGATAAGATTTAAGAATAATGCATAGGTTTTGTTGAATCCTTACAGTGATGAAATAATGTTTTTTTTCCCTAAAGATCTTTCAAGCTTCTTTGTTGACTTTTGACAGTGATGGACAGGACTATTACATATCGCTGAATATAATTAGAGAATAAAACACTCAAATATGAAAAGCCAGAGAACGGGATAAAAATGTAAATGTGAGTATGACTGAACTGAAGAGTCACATTCATTTCCACATCTACATCCATAAGCACACCTAGATACATCCTAACACCCGCATATAAGAGCACATCCAGACTCCATAGCTTTATATGGGTTCCTTTGATTCGTTCTTATGAGTGATCTATGACAAATTACTGTAAGATTCTTGTTAAGTCAGTTTATGTAGGAAAAAACTATGAATTAGAGTATGAAACTTATGTGGCGTTTTTCTCACGATAGGCTTCTTGATTTTGATGTATCTATAAGTTCCAGATTGTTCTGCCATTTTATATCCTAGAAATGTGGGACTCACCACACCTATATTTTAACACATAATCTTAAGCTATCTGTTCATAGATTCAGTATATTGAACTGAAATTTTTTAGTATGAACCGTCTAACTCGGGATATACGTCTTCTGAAAGTTTTATTAAGATCAAATGATCGAAAAAAAACAAATTTTTTTTTCAGGAGAAGACCATTTTAAAAGGCTTTTCTAAAAATTAAGTGAATTTCTGGAGTTTCCAAAGCTAAGAAATAATGCTGACGTCAGTCTTAAAAGATTTTCAGTTCAAAACTCTGGACCATAGATATATTTTGGTCTAAATATACTAATTAAAGTTTTAATTGTTCAAGAAAATTGTATCGTTCCTTCAAGAGTAGAGATCGATAAGTTCAGTTTTAGTTCAAATCTGAGGAACTGTTAATAATACCCATTGTTCTGAACTTGGAACTAGGAGTTGGTCAACTTCTACCCGCATGGAGTCTTTTATTGCGACGAGAAGTTTAATTTAAAGAAAAAAACCGAATGTAAGAATGGACCATATTAACAACAATGGGATTGTCATTCAAACAACTTGCTTATAACTTCTTTAAAAATGAAATACCAACTAAAAACTATGTATCAAATCATATATCTGACAATTTATTCAATGCATACTACTCAAAAAGCAGTGACAGAAGATCTATAGAAGAAAAATATACTGCCTTTCAATCAAATAATCTTTCAAATATGTTTCAACTTCTATCAATTGAAACGATTTAAATCTCATCAAGTAAGAAAATAACATCTGTTTATAATAAAAGTATCATTATCTATTCTAATAACCTATTTCTTCTATATTTGTCATATATAGTTTGTTCAAAATAGGTTTGATATTGTGACATAAAACAGATAGCGTACATACATTATATAAACCATTATTATTCTAGACTATGAAAAAAAAGCAGACAAAATATATGTTGATTCCAGCCGAAGAGATTGTTTTTTTTTTTATATTAAATTGTTAAAAGAATAACTTCAAGATTGAAGTTGTTATTGACCACAAGGTAAACTACAATTAAAGTGTGAACAAAACAGCTGAATTTTTGCTATTCATGGTTTAATAGGCGATACCTTAAGAAAAAATACTATCTCAATCAAAATGTTATAGTTCTTATATAAGAAATAGCAATTGCTTTTTTTTTTTTGTCTTATTCCAATGTCACAGTATATTCATGTATAAATCAAAGAAAATCAATCGAAAATTCATATGACAATCTAAAATACAATGTTCGATTTCTTGACTTTTTCGTGTAAATAGATTTTACAGCTACATCCAAATTGTAGACATATGTTTTCCAGTAAAATCAAGACAAAATTTCTCATCCTTTGTCAATTGTATCGATAGAAAGAAAGAATGCAATCTCTTTTGTTACTATTAAGAGAATAGAATGTGAGTGAAGTAATCATCCACAGTTTAATACTTACTCTTAAATCAAACTACCTACACTGATCCTTTTACTATATCTATTTTCGTATGTTTGCATAATGCAGTCATTCTACATTGCGGATATTTCTCAATATGTGGTCACTTTTGTCTCTTCTCTCTCGATTCTATTTTAAGGACATTTTTTTGTCCTTCAACTAAGAAGAAATGTTCACAATCAAGATGATACGGATTTTATACGCTTGAAAGAAAGTAATGTTATTCGCTAGCCATAGAATATTACTTTTGTAATTACTAAATATTTAATGCACAAAAAGAAAAAGAAATGATGTGATGTAAGTTTACAACTTCAATTTTCTACTCTAAAATCGTTGCTTTTATTTCTGTTACTACTTAATAGTCGATCAATCAATTGTATAGAATCATTAGTTCTTTTTTTTTTTTTGTGTGTGTTTGATTCTTTACACCTTACTTATAGAAATGCAATCGGACCATATGAAATAGAACAGAGACAATATAAAATATTGTACATGTCTTTCGACTCCGTATGATTACGTTCTCGTGCATATGCAGCTTTTTTTTCATATATCAACGCCAAACTCTTCAACTTAACGACTGATGACCTTTTGTCTCGTCCTTTTCATTCTTTACGATCACTTTTTTTTTTTCTTTGTCATTCAATATTTATTGTGTATACAAGATATTGTCTGGTCATTCATAATAGTCGAAGAAGTAATGTTAACAAATGTTTTAAGATTCACTTTACTTTATTCTATTATATAAATGTAATTGATGTGTGTACAAGTTTTTTTTTTTTTCTAATATTCTTCTTCGTTGCTTGTACATGTAATGTACAAATTTTCTATTGAATAGATGTAATGTGTTGAAGTTCAAAAAAAAAAAAGAGCAAATAATGTTGACAATAGCTGTCATGGTACTGATCGTGTACTATATATTGTTTTATTCATTGTCGTTTTAGACTGATAATTGATATTACAAGTTATGACCTTCGAGATTTCGATGAAGGTAAGAAGAAGTAAAGTTTTCTTTTTTTTTTTTTTTTTGAAAACTTGGTTCCTTTCAATTAATTCTTTGTTGAGAAAGAAAAATCGAATGTCGAACAAATTTTTTCTATTGAAATTAATCATCCGTTTGATTTTTTACTTTTCCATTCTTTATCTTTTAGTGTTGTTGAGAGATATCTATAGTTGTTATTCTTCATCTTCTTGATTTAGATCATATTCAATTTATCATCTGCTTTCAACAGTAATAGTAATTCATGATATTTTCTATTATAGAAAGGTTATATTGCATATCTTTTATATCGATGGTGTAATCATTATGTTCATTTGGTTTTTCTTTTTACTTAGGATGAATTTTAGTAGAGAGAAAAAAACATATCTTAATGAGAAAAGCAGTTAAGTAAATAGATGATAAGAATGATGACGATGATGTGATCGTTATCATTATCATTATCATTATCATCATCATAATTCGATAGAGATCAGTAGGACAAAAAAGAAAATTAACTTTATTGACCTCCTCCCCACCCCTCAGGAATTTATTTGTATCATTCGACTTGTTTTCTCAAGGTACAATTTATTGCGGTTTCTTTTTGAAGATAGAAACTCACTTTCTGATATCTTTTTTTTTTATCTTTCACATATGTATCTAATGCTAATTATCATGCACAATTCTGTTATAAGCTTCATGCTGTCTTTCTACTTATTTTCTTATCTTTGATTATAATAATCATGAGAATATTTGCTCAATAATATGAATATGGGAAATAGAGGTCAGAGAACATATATGTATAAATTTAATTGTATGAACACCTAAAAACATATACGTAAGTTTTATTCATAAACCGATATTATTCTAATCAAAAGAGGTGAAGCAGATATACGTACTATATTCTTTGCTTATTATTAAATAACATATCCTATATACATATATACAAGGTTATATAAAAGATCAGCTTTTTGCTTCTATATATATATATATATATATATGACGAAGTATCTTCTTTTTCACGCTTTACACATTGGCGAGTTTTACGGACAGTGTCCATTCGTAATAGTATAAGATTTGTATCATAGACGTTCTATGAATACGTTTAATGAAATGATGAATACGATAATAACCTAATCTTTATATATATATATATGTATAATATTGGAAGTTTTAAAGTTGTGTCATCAGTATAGAACATATATTCATTTATATGAATAACTGATACATAAGCAGGAAAAAAAAGAAGCTATACATATATATATGTAAAATAGTAAAGAAAACAAAGACTCCTCCATAAATTATTTAAAACACATACTACGACAATAAAAGTTTTACTTAGGTTATTCAAATCTATGTTAAACAATTTTATAGAAATCAAATAGTGAAACCTTAATAAAAATTGATGTACTTGTTTTTTTTTTTCTATTTTATTCTAGGTCATCTTTATTATTTATTAATATTTACATGGCAACGAACAAATCATTATCACATCATCGTAATTATCAAATAGCTCCTTCAATTATATATTCAAAAATTCATAGTAAAAGTTCAGAATCTTTATTAAATAATAATCAAAAAATTGATTTACAACAAAAAGAAAAACAATTTAATAAAATAATAAAAATGAAAAAATCACAAACAGAATTAACAAATTTTGAAACAACAACAACAAAACCTATTGAAATTACATGTAATGCAACATCTATATTACGTCGTCGATTTAGTCTTTTTCGTATTAAACGTTCACAACCATCAAATGAAAATGTTAATGTTCAAGCACTTCAACAAATTATTGATAAATTAAGATATGATTTACATATTAAAACTACTGAACTTGAAATAATAAAAAAACATACAGAAAATAAATGTAATAGTATAATACAACCATCAAATGAATCAATTGAACAAGCGTTTCAATTACAAACAATATTAAATACAAGACTTGAAGAAATGCTTACAGAAAATGATTTACTTAAAAAAAGTATTCAAGAACTTGAATCTTTTGCACAACAACAAAAAAGTAAGAAAAATCATTCAGGTTTTTTTTTTTTGTTATCGATAATTATTTTCTATTCATATCCACTTGTGATATTGACAAGATTGCGCAGTGGGCATCGTGTATATACTATAAGCTTTGCATATGTACATAATCGAAGAAAAAAAAACTATTGATAATTGAACATATTGATATTTGAAGTAGACGTACTTCAAAACGAATTAAAAATCGATTTTCTTTACAATGATAAATCTCTCTCTCTCTCTATATATATATATGTTTTTTTTTGTAAAAGTTGTTAATACATTAAGGAGTCTCCTGTCGAGGACATATACGATCGATCAACTGTTGTGTCATCAAGTACACGTGTGGACAAGTATCATTGTTTAAACTGTCCTTGTTTAAACCATATTATGGCTCACACAAATAGTCAAAAAAGAGAGAACGAGAGACAAATTTCGACCTCACCACTGCTCCATTTCTCTTTTCTTCTTCTTCTTCTTCTTGTTAGTCGTCTGTACATAGATACACACATTACATTTTTCTCTCCTTCTCTTCATCACAATCGCCATCACAACATACATACAAACATACAAAACATATGTATGTATACATCGATCGAACTAAAAGCTGATCAGCAACATTTTTTTCTTCTCTCTCTCTCTCTCTCTCTCTCGTATTGGTATTAATGACGATAATCGAATTATTTCATTTCAATAATCCTATTTTATAATGCGTTTTTTTCGACGATTTCGAAAGGCAACTCCACTTACATCTACATCATTTCAAACTGTTGTTATCAACAAAGGTAAAAATACATTTTAAGAAAAACAAATTTCTTTTGTCCTTGTCATTGCTTTTATTATATATGTACGATTACAAATTCTTTTCTTTTTTTTTCTCTTATTTTGTAATCAAACCTGTCTACTGACTGGTTAACATTTACCAAAATGTATATGTCGCATTATTTTACAAAGTAAACATTAGTTTAATAAGATTTATCGTTTCTTTTCAACATCATGTTCATCTAAATATATTTTGATAGACAATAAACATTTAACTGATAATGAACATTTCATATAAAAATACTTATTTTGCACGTACTCAATTTATCAATAGTATGATTGACCTTTCCATTGTAAAGTAATTTTCTTTTCTTCTATTATAATTAGTTTACATAAATATATAGAAATATGAGTTATTTGTTGTAATTCTATGCAGTTAATTAGACTACTATAAACTCTTAAATTAAATAAAAGAGAATTATATATCTACTTACGATAAGTAAAACAAATGTGGCAACTGTTGTTTAACTCGTACAAATAAGATATACATTTATCATTTAAAATGATACAATATTGTCATCATCATCATCATTATCTATCCTGACATGTCAATTTCAAGTGAACCCATCATAACATTTGCTCTGCTCTGTTTTTTTTT